CTAGCAGAAATCAAGAGCTTCAACTTACTGCCACCAAGAAAGGAGTTCTAGAAATGTTTCCAGTATTTGTTTCAGAGAAAAAGTGAGGGTGGAAAAACCTCAGATGGTCTTGCTCTGCGGAGTTTTAATTCCAGCAAGAGGGACTTAGGGAAGGGCTTGTACACTATTACAGATGATAATAAGTTATCTCTACTCATAAAAAAAGCACTCTTCCCACTCATCTTTTTCTTCCAGAGCAGAACTTGTCATAAACTTCTTCAGTTAATTAAGATTTCAGGGGAAAAATAATAAAACCTTGCACAATACGGCCAAGATGATCACTAGACACTTTGCCCACTGGCTGCCTTCCAGGAACCCAATCTAACATTTGGAAATGTTATTTCACTCCCCATTGTACCACTGGAGATTTACAAACTATTAAGACATGCAGATTACTAATGAAACTTTGTTAATAGTTAGTGCCAATGAGCTCAGCTGGAGTGTTAAGTCTAGAAGGAATACTCAACTTTGAAATTACATACTACTCTCTTAGTCCTAGATCATCACCATTATACCACCACTGCTACAACCTCCTACCCCCCCTCCCAAAATAGCTTCTCTTATTTAGAATTACTAAAGCTAACTATGACATAAAAGGATCACATCAATGACTCAACTTCCCTAGCTTGGGCTGCATTTAAAATTACCATTATAGAGAAAGATTCAGATACACAGCAAAACACAAGAGAATGACAAGCTCCCCTAAAAGTCAGTTCAGTAAGAACCACAAAGAGCTTTTTATTCTGGGGTTTAACTCTGGACCCACTGTGCCTGTGCGCAGGAACTCAGACTCCATCTGTTGCTCTAGAGCCAAAGGCTTTATTGTATTGACTTTGTGCTCTTATCTGATGGCCATAAATTCCCACCAGAGGGGATGCACCGGCTTAGCCAGTGACCCCTGCTGCTCCTAGCCAACAAAGGAGCAGGTCTTTCTTCCCAGGGACCCTGAAGGTTGGGGACTGCCCTCTGCGAATGGCCTTGGGTTTTTGCTGTTTCCATTCAGGATTTCCTAATGTGAGCAATTACAAGATAACTTCATTTCAAGTCTCACTGGTCGCTGTAACACTTCAGTGAGCAATAAACTCCCGGGACCCCAGAAGGAGACAAGGAAAGCTGGGGGTAAAGGCGAAATGTCAAGAAATCCTTCTGTCATTAAGAATGCAAAATGTATACAGAGACACCCATCGTTGACACCATTTTCTATTTTTACTATACAAAGACTAAGGAATTAGGGCTTGCCCAGCAAATCTGAGAGTTTAGGCTGCTGAGAAGTCTGTGTTTACTAAAAGCAAAAGTGGAATCTTCTACCAAGAGATGAATATGCTTGAAGAGGGTGGAGGTGAGGGAGGCGGTCAACCCATGGATACAAATAGGACCTGACATCCTTTTTTGTTGTTTTTTTCTCAAAATGTCTAGGACCATTTTCTCATGGAAGGCACAATAAAAGAAATGGAAACACAGGCCTTTTCAAGGGACCAACCACAGAGAGCCTCTACCGGCTGCCTGGCCCTTCCTGTGGGAAGCACCCTATGACACAGCTCCGACGTCCACCCCCAATCAGCCGCCCCGTCCCTGAGGGCGATCAGGGCGGTGGATGTCACTGTTGTTATCACGCTGATCATTGGATCACCGTGGTCGGTTTACAGACCTCCCCAACTATCCATTCATGGACTCCAGCCTTCCTCCGTGCGCAAGTTCACTGCACTCACAATAACAACTACTACACAATCCCAGCCGGCATCCTTTGACTCCAGCTAGCCCCAGATTTGGGGGGGAGGGGGCAGGGATGGGGTGGGAGGAGGCGAGATTCCGGCTTTGCTATCCAGGCGCTAAAATGAGATCCGTCCGTGCAGATTCATCTCTTCTCATCAAACCAGCGGGGCCAAGGCTGGGGGCCCCTGGTGGCTACGACGCCTCGAGGGGGCGCCTGCATCTCGGTCCCGGGGATGAGGGAGGAGGGGGAACTGCAGGAAGCGGGGTGGGGGCAGACAGGAGAGAAAATGAACTATCCCCCCCCCAAAAAAAAGGTTAAAAACACCTTATTCGGAACAAGCGGCCGAGTGACGTCTCTGAAACCTGGGTGCAAAACCAGCCGGCTTGCAGGGCTTGACGGGCGCCGCTTTGGGAAAGAAACAGCACCCCCAGATGGCCGCTGCGGACCCCCGGTTAAGGCACAAGGAGAGGGGGAACCGGGGGGGGGACCATGGAGCCCCGCACCCCGTGGAAGCCACGTGAGGACGCAGTGGGAGACACCCCGGAGGAGGTCAGGCCCGGTCCCCAAGATTTCCAAGGCTCAGTAACACCCGCACAGCTGTGCCACTTTTGGAGATACCTGGTTCCAGTTCACACACACACACACACACACACACACACACGCACGCACGCACGCGCACACACGCACACACACACACACACACACACACACACACGCACGCACGCACGCGCACACACGCACACACACACACACACACACACACACACACACCTCGTGCCTCCGTTTCCCTGCGATCCGAATAGGCAAAAGAACACCACCACCCCCCGTCGGGCGCGGGCGCGGACGGCCAGGCCGCGGGACGCAGCACCCCAGCTTCCCAGCGACCCGACAGGGCGGCGGGGCGAGCGTGGGCGCTGAGACGGCCTGGGAACCGGGCGGAGCACGCCCAGCACGCGGGCACCTGCCGCGAGCCACGGCTGCGGGCGACGGGCAGCGAGGAAGGGCGGCTCGCCTTCCAGCTCCCCCGGCGCTGAGGACAAGCTGAGTGCGGCCCAGGGAGGGACCCCGGGGCTTAGACACCCGGAAGCAAGGCCAGCGTCTTCGAGGATGCGGGCGGGGGCCGTTCCTGCCAGGGGACCCCCCCCCTCCCGCCCCCGTGGGCCTGGCTTTAACCGAGCAGTAAGCGATTGTCCCGGAGGGACCTGGGTGGTCCCGGGGGAGCTTTCTTTGCCCCTCAAGCTTGCTCAGTACCCGGACACCACCAAACACTCAACAGGAAACCGGGGCCGAATGCACAGCACTCGCGACGGGCTCGCTGGTCCCGGCCTGCAGCCTCGGGGTGGGAGGGTGTTCAGCGAAGCGCCGGGGCGCAGGGGAGGGGATCGGACCCTCTCCAGAAGCCCGTGCCCCCCCCCAGGCTCTGCGTTCGGACTGGGGTGGGTGGACGGCCCAGACCACCGAGGAACTGGGCAGGGAGGGTGGGAGGCGCCGGCCGGCCGCAGGCCTCGGATAACTCGCCAGGAGGAAACGTGGGGAGCCCTGGGCAGAGGGGAGAGACGAGTGTGGGTTATCCCAAAAGCTGTCCCGCGGGGACGGACGGCGAGTGTCCGGGAGGCGCATTTTACCACCACCCCCCGCAGCGGTCTGCACTTGTACCGAGTGTCACCCCATCCCCAGCGATCGCGACCCCCGCGGGCACCAGCGCTTCGAAGGACAGGAGGGAAGGGGCGCGACACCACGTGGGTGAGGGAGACGCAGCCCGCGCGGGGGGTGGGGTCGAAGCCCAGGGGCGTTGGGAAAGGCCCAAGGGTGTCCTGGGCCCCCCCAAACCCAGCCAGCCGGGGCCCGAGGCGCGAGCGCGCACCGCGGCGCAGCAGCGCCCGGCGTGGCTTCCCGCGCCCTCTGGCGGCGAGCAGAGCCCGCACCCCGGCAGCTTGCGGGGGGAGGGGGCCGCAGGGTTCTGCGGGGACCCAGGCGACCCCAGCCTCTCCCAGCGCTGCTCTAGCCCCGGCTCCCGTGTTTGCTTCTGTGTTTTAAGCATCTCCCTACTTAAGAGTGGGAAAGGCCTCGCGCACAGCCCGCGGAGGAGCAGCTGGAGGCCGGGCTTTGAAGAGACCCAGGTTCCCGTCGTCGCTCAGCAGGTACGCCCCGATCGTCCCCACCACGCCCCGGAGGGCGACCAGGCCTCTCCCTCGGCATCCTTAACCTAAGCCGCCCCGGGACCACAAAACCAGCCCGAGCCTCCAGGCGGGGCCGGCCAGCTAAAGCATCGAAAGAAGGAGGGGCGAGCGGGAGCCCCAGGCCCAGCCTGCAGATGACCCCAAGTGGCCGGGAAGTAATAACAATGCGCCTAACTTACATATGAAAGAACTCCCCCCGTGGGGTGGGGTGAGCTTTGCGCATGGCCCGGCCTGCAGAGGGGGCACCGGCCCGGGGTCACCACGGAGCTGGGGCATTCGGCCTGCGCTGGGGTCATCCCATTCATTTAAGGGGACACGATCCCCTAGACACCCCCACAAAAGAATCCGCTTTCCACGCCAAGCTTTGACGCAGGCTAAGGTGGATGATTCTGCTTTGGTCTGAGGGCATCGCCAGGCTGCAGGACAGCGGCGCGCGACTCCCGGGAGGAAAGGAAGTTCGCCCGGGGCGCCCTCGGGCGGGCGGACCCCCCCCCCCATGTAACGTAATGGTGCTCATTCGCACCAACTTCAGATCGCCACTCAGCAAAAACACCGCACCAACGGGCCAGGGCCTCACGGGCGGGGAGGACCACGTTCCCAGGTTCCCGGCAGCCAGAGTGGCTGCCTGATCGCCCCCCTCCCCGCCCCGCGAGGGTCCCCAAGCCCTGCAGCCGGCGCCCGGGACGCGGCGGAGCTCGGAGGAGGCCGAGCTCCCGGGTGCGTTGTTTCAAGCGATCGCGGGGTGTTGCGCGCGCAGCTGCACGCACGTGGGGAGGGGGCGCCGAGCAGCCGCCTCCGGTTACCCTCCGCTGGCTCCGCCCCGCTCCCCCCACCTCCAAATTTGCATAAAAAAGGCCGAGAAAACTCTGGCTGTGCCCCAGCCCCGGCTCACTCGGCTCCCCTGGCTGGAGCCCCCCGAGCTGCGACGCGCTCCATCCGTCCTTCACGCACTCAGGCTTGCGGGTCCCGAACCCACGATCCCCCGCTGAGCACAGCCAGCAGCAGCAGGCCCGGAGGAACGAGCTCCCCGGGCCGCAGCCGCCCCGCGCTTGGCCCCGCACTCCCCGGCTCGGCTCCCTCCGCGCCCCCCCGGGGGTCCCGCGCAGCCACGATGCCGCCGCAGGGCCCTGGCTCTTTGCTGCTGCTGGTCCTGGCGTCGAACTGCTGGCTGGGCTCGGCGCGGGGGCTCTTCCTCTTCGGCCAGCCCGATTTCTCCTACAAGCGCAGCAACTGCAAGCCGATCCCCGCCAACCTGCAGCTGTGCCACGGCATCGAGTACCAGAACATGCGGCTGCCCAACCTGCTGGGCCACGAGACCATGAAGGAGGTGCTGGAGCAGGCGGGCGCCTGGATCCCGCTGGTCATGAAGCAGTGCCACCCCGACACCAAGAAGTTCCTGTGCTCGCTCTTCGCCCCCGTCTGCCTCGACGACCTGGACGAGACCATCCAGCCGTGCCACTCGCTGTGCGTGCAGGTGAAGGACCGCTGCGCCCCGGTCATGTCGGCCTTCGGCTTCCCCTGGCCCGACATGCTGGAGTGCGATCGCTTCCCGCAGGACAACGACCTCTGCATCCCCCTGGCCAGCAGCGACCATCTCCTGCCAGCCACCGAGGAAGGTGAGCCTTTCCCGGGAACCCCTGCGGGGTCCTGGCGGGGCCAAGGTGCTACCGAAGGGAGGGGCGCGGGCGGGGCGGGGGGGGGCGGGGATCCCCGCAGCTCTCCACCCGCATCCAGGTTGGGACAGACTTTCCCAGCCTGGCCTGTCGCCACTCGCTGGCATCGTATTTGAGACACGCGTTCGCCCAGGGTCACCCCCTCCCCGTCACGCCAGGAAGGAAAATGAAGACTTGAAAGGTGGCATCGATACACACGCATTAAGTGTATCCATTCATCTGGACGCCGGTCTCTAGGAGAGCGCGGGAAGGGGTGGTGGGTGCGGGGGACGGCGGGCTGGGCTAGTTCTCAGCCTGGGGCAGGACAGTCAAGATGCATACACAGAGAGAGAGAGAGAGAGAGAGAGAGAGAGAGAGAGAGAGAACCTTGTAAACTATTTTTTCTTCTTGGTCCTTTTACTGATTTCGGTTTTAGAGAGAAAACCAGGACTGGCCCGGAGCCTGGGAATTGAATGCGCAGGGCCTGCCCCTGCCCAGGTGTTGGGGGAAGAGGGCAGCCGGGGAATCCCTGGGGATCGTTCTGTCACTATCAGCTTTTATCTTCGGAGTGGTTTTAATTAACTGGAGAAAATCATGCAAAAGAGTTTCCCCCGACTTTTTTTTTCTGTTTCTTTCTTTCTTTTTTTTTTTTTAGAAAACAGCCGGGGAGTTCCTGGGCAAAAACCATCAAAGCAATGAAAACCTCATGGGCTCTTAATATTCTTCCTGAGAGGGGAAAAAAAAAAGTATACAATGTGTCTGAGCTGATTTAGGTCCCTCTGGGATAGCGAAGGGGCTCCTAATCCTTCTCAGAGCCCCTCGCAGCTTCTCCCTTTCAATCTCCCACCGACATCGTTAGCTCAAGAAAATGCAAAGTTGTTTAGCAATCTTTCCTGGCAGGCACCATAAGTTTGCAATCATCTTATTGGTTAGATTTCTAATTTATTGCAAATGTTTGGCATTTTTCAAACATTTGTCCAACATATACCATAGACTAACCAAACAGGTTAGTAACATTTCATGTACATTGGAGGGCTCCTAATTGGAAATGTTTAGTTTGGGAGGGGTGAAGGAAGTTAAAACAGTTCTCTGTGGGTTCCTTTTGTTTTTATTTTTAGGTTTTGCAATCAACACCAACATTGTATACTGCACATTCCTCCAAAAAAGCCATTTTTCTTCCTTCAGAATAAAAATTTGTTCTTTGTGACTTTGGACTAATTTGATAAATAACATTTCTATGATGAGTCACAAAATTTATTTTCTGTAAAAACAAAAATTCACTCTCCTTTTGGTGAAAATCGAATTGCATGTAAATTCTAAGGACATTATTAAGCCCACATAAATGAGAGAGAATATTTTCTTTCCCCCAAGAAATTCAGACTCTTACAATGGGCATTTTGATAGCTATGCAAGCACATAATTCTGCTTTGCTCAGGCCTCACAGACAAGGAGGAACAAGAAGAACCCATATCAGGGAGCCAGTGGATAATAATGAACTATATTTTGCCTAATTCACACCCAGACGTGGCAGAGGGCACAAGGTGGGATAGAACCAGTCTGAGCAGGGTGGAAACAGCCCATCTGTGGCCCTGTAAGGGCTCCCAACAGGAGCCAAATCTCCTGATTCAGACTTGAAAGTATCTTGAAGTGACCCCTTCTACCCCCACCCCCCACTCCCCCCACAGAGCCTCTGCTGAGGGGGGAGGGGAGCGTTCTGGTGCCTTGCCTCTTTCAGCTATATTTTGTGGTTACCTGTTTTTCCAAATCCTTCAAGGGTCCTTGGATCTTTGGGTGATTTATTTCTCCCAAGGGAGACATGGGGAGGGCCTTTCTTCAGACTGAAGTGGACCCAGAAGTGGAGAGCGGCCACCTGTCCTAGCGACACACACCTGCACGCTCTGCTCCCTTTTATTTGAGAGAGATTGCTCATTAAGCACCACCTCTGGGTGCTTTGTTGTTGTTGAGACCCAAAGAGGACTTTTTTAGGAACGAATGATCCATACTACTTTTCTAGAAGAGGCAGAAGCAGGGGTCGGGAGCTGCTGCTGCTCTGACCTGGCGAAGCCCCTTTAACTTGTTTCCAAATGCCACCTGCTGTTTCCTTTAAAAGCAAACTTACCAAAGACTGTTTTTCCACATTTCTAGCTCCCAAAGTATGTGAGGCCTGCAAAACTAAAAACGATGACGACAATGACATAATGGAAACTCTCTGTAAGAATGACTTCGGTAAGTACACCACCGCAGCCAAGAGATTCCACATTCAAAAGTTTGATTTGCCATGAAAACCTAAAATTACCAGTCGTTAAGATGTTGCCAGATAAGAGTTGGGTAAGATACAGTCATAGCTCATGCTCCCAAGTCAGCTTTCCCCCTTGAGTGATATCTTTCTAGGTGAGAGTCATTGTTTTCTTAAGCAATCATCAAATGATTAAAAAAAAATTCAAATTGACCAGTGTTCAGTGGCACATATTTTATCTCACTTGGCCATGTTCTTTCAATCACAAAACATGCATGGGATAGGTATGCCCTCTACTGAAATTAGAATGTCAACAAAAGAGACTCAAGGCATTAAATTGGCCAAAGCAAACATTTAGCCTGGTATCAAATAGAAATCTTTTTGCTTTGTTCATAGCCCATAAAAATGCTTTGCTCCTTGCTGTATCATGGTTAGTGTGTATACCACCAAGTCACCAGTTAAATGTTCAAAGATACCTAACATGAGCTTTCTTACACTTTCGAAGGTGTTTATAAACTCTTTAAAAGTAAGTCTAGACACATGTGCCATAGTTTTGCAGACAGTTAAGGAAAAAGGAAGAAAGCATAGAAATTTGCCTTAGCAAGAAACATGAAAGACATTTGGTGACATGGGTCCTGGGGACAATCGAAAGCCAGAAAGCACAGTAACATTTCTACGTACAGAACAAATCCTGGAGTCAGCCTGAGGGAAGCCATCCCAGGTTCCAAAATTGACAGCCTCACACTCTGACTTTTCTATCCCTGAAATCTCAGGTCCCTGGCTTCTGATAACTGTCCTCATCATACTTCAATCAACTCCAGGTACCTTCCAGGAAGTATCTTGGGTTTAACTGTAGCAGAGGAAGGAGGAAGGGAGAAGCTAGCCCAGAACCCAGATCTATGTTCCCATTAGGAAGAGCCACAAAAGGAGGTGATAGGCTTTTATATGTATTCAGGTACCTTGGCATCATATAATCCCCAATTACTACACCTTTGCCCAAACACAACTCTTAGCTGGCACCCTACAAGACTTTATAAAGTATCATTTTCTTCAGGTATCTTATGAGTTTTGCACTTGATATAAGGACTTGCTTCTGACTTTGCAACACAGTTGCATTTAGGGAACATATTGCACAAGCATGCACGAACACACACGCACGCACGCACGCACACTACTTGCTTCGTGGTTTATAGAAGGCCCCCTTTCTATGGATGTCCCACTAAGGTCTGAGCCAAAAATTGGGTGTGTGTGGAAGTGTGGCCAGAAATGTGGCCATGGTCTGTCTCCTTAGAAAAATCCTTTCAAATCAGGCAAGTCCTCATACTTGAGAGAACACACATGCACGCACCCCAGGAGCTTTGTTTTCTATTTCTGCATTCCTCTTTGGATCCATAAAGAGAAAATAAAGCCAAATTTCAGGAAGTGCATCATAAACTTTTGGTTGATAGTATCCCATGTTGCCCTTGTTCCTTGGGAAGTCATGGGTAAAAGAAAGAAGTATAGATCCCGATTGAGTTTAAAACTTGAGTCTCTGGGGAAGTCATAACATGTCCCCCACTGCCCCCTTGACCACGGGGGAAAGCCCGTATGCCTTGGCACTTTAATGACCCAGGTACTGGAGTGAGGAATGGCTCAAACTCCCTTTCTAGGTGTCCTGCACATGTCTGGGCCAGATAATATCACCTATGTCTCCTACCCCAGCTAGAATCCCCAGTCACATCTTGCAGGGCAGGAAAGTTATTTGGGAATCTTTTGATTCTCTATGTTGGATCTCCACTGAACATCCAAGTAAGAAATCCCCAGTGTTTTCCCATGATTGGCATCTCCAAGTTGGTTATTTGAGAGCTAGAGAATGATAAGTGTTATTCCTCCTTTCTCCTGCTGCTGCTTCAGAGTGGTGATTTTCTTAATGTTTCAAGCCCAAGAATGTTTTTTTGGACCAAGTGGCATCAGGCGCATGCTCCAGCCATGCTAGAGACTTTGTGGTATCCTGTACTAACTTTGACTCACCCCATTGTGGGGTCGTCTGACAAAACTATAGTTTGAGAGCTGGGTGCTGGTGGCTCACGCCTGTAATCCTAGCTACTCAGGAAGCTGAGATCTGAGGATTGCATCTCCAATAAACTACCAGAAAACTGGAAGTGGTGCTGGGGCTCAAGTGGTAGACCTCTTGCCTTGAGCTGAAGAGCTGAAGGACAGCTCCCAGACCCAGAGTTCAAGCCCCACGACCAAAACTCTATAGTTTGCTACCTCCTGGCATCCTTGATTTACCTGGCTGAGCTCTCTTAGCCTGGTTGGCTAGAAAGGCATACTTAGCAGCAACTCCTGGGATTTCAAGGAAAACGTCAATAGAGAGCTATTACCAATTTAAACTGCATCAGGTCTCATTAGAGTCAGGAAGTTGTACTTGCATGTGGTCTGTACAGAGCAGCCATTGGTGGCCCCAGTATCTTAGGACACATTAGAGTTGGACAAATGAATGTACCAACCAGGACAAGAAATTAAGAGAACATGCCCATGTTACAGAAAGAAGTCTGGGGGCTGAGGAGTAGACTAAGCTCCAGGACCCAAACTTGCTGGGTGGCCTGAGGCAAGTTACTACATTTCTGGACTTCAGATTCTTTGGGTACTAACGAGATTTACTAGGATGACTACTTCTAACCTTAAAACTTTTATCCTTTTCCTGCCTTTGCGTAGTCTTGAAATTTAACTCCAGCCTGTGTATTGGTAGAGTTTTCTTTCCCAAGGCACACAATAAAATGTGTCTTTTATAGGAAACCACTTACATTCCATCTTAACATTCTAATGAGTCTACATATACATTTTGGACACAGTACATACATGATCTACAACTCCTCGGCCCGGGACAGGCAAACAAGAGCCTAAGAGGATGAGGTCTTCAGAAACACTTTTATGGCTAAACATGTTGTGCTCTTAAAGAGAGACTTGCATATGTTTTCCCCCTCCCAGTGACTTTCCCAAATCAAATGCAGCTGCAAGATCAATTCTGCTTTCCTGCAATCTGTGCTGTAGAATATGAGGCTTGTGTGATACAGTTTCCTTACAGGTTTGTCCAAAAACTTGCCTGCCATAATAAATGGAGTTTAAAGTTGGCAGCCACAGATGGATCGGGTTTCACCTAGGACTCAGGCATTTGTTTTCATGCTGAAGTTTCCAATAGAGAAACTCAGTTTGCTAGGAAAAGAGGGATGGACCCCAACAAGCTGCTGCTTCCTGACTCAGGTGAGGAAGAAAACCCAATCGTTTTGAAAGGGCTGCTGCTTTCCAAAGGAGTGTGTGACAAATGCTTTGAGGCTTTAGAAACGGAGCCACCTGCTGCCTCTGCCCACATCCTCCCCACTACCTGCAGCCCCAGAGGCTCATTCATTCTGGGAAGTTCTTTTTCCATGGCCCCTAGGCGAAGTCAGAGGAAATGAGACTCCATCTCGACTGCCTTCCATGTGTAACCCTGTAACTGATTGTGATTCGGCCTCTCTTGTCTTCACAGCACTGAAAATAAAAGTCAAGGAGATCACCTACATCAACAGAGATACCAAAATCATTCTAGAGACCAAAAGCAAGACCATTTACAAGCTGAACGGTGTGTCTGAAAGGGACCTGAAGAAATCGGTGCTGTGGCTCAAAGACAGCTTGCAGTGTACCTGTGAGGAGATGAACGACATCAACGCCCCCTATCTGGTCATGGGACAGAAGCAGGGTGGGGAGCTGGTGATCACCTCGGTGAAACGGTGGCAGAAGGGCCAGAGGGAGTTCAAGCGCATCTCCCGCAGTATCCGCAAGCTTCAGTGCTAGTGCCCGTGGCTCCGGCCGCCACGAGCCAGCCGGGCTGACCGGCCTGCCCCTCCGCCTGCCCCTACAGACTGCCCAGACACAGCTGCATCTGCGCTGGCCACCCCCAGCCCAGGCACGCTCCCGTGCCCCTCACACATGGCCACCTACAGCATTTCTGAGTTACGAGACCCCAGGGGGCCTCAGGAAAGGATAGTGGGTTTTCCCATAAAGGAAAACCCCAGATCTGTAGCAATATCCAGACTGGTTAAAACCATCAATATTTTCATGACATTTTAAAGTAGCTGGGGGGTGGGTGTTTGTTTTCAGTTCTGGGGCTTGAACTCAGAGCCTGAGCATTTTCCCTAGGCATTGGGGTTCAATGCTGTTGCTCTACCACTTGAGCCACTGCTATTTGCTGGTTAATTGGACATAAGACTCTAATGGAGTTTTCTGCCTGGGCTGGCTTTGAACCATGATCCTCAGATCTCAGCCTCCTGAGTAGCTAGGATTGTACAGGCACAAGCCACCAAGCACTCAGTGAAAAATATCTCATCTTAAGATTAGTTTTGAGTAGATGGAGCTGTGACTTGGGTCTGGGCTCTCTCCTGTCCTCTTTCTTTGGTCAGTCAGCTGACTTTCACTGCTCCTTGAGGTGACTTGTTACACAAACTGCTTCACTTTTCTCTGTGGTGCAAACCTGCGGACCACAAAACCTAGTTGAGATAAAGCTGGCCATTGTCTCAACGTCTCCCCCAGCCGCAGCCTGGCACGCCGAGCCTCGCACCAACTCACTGTTCATGCTGCACCCTCCCTGGGAACTTAAGACGGCTGCACTACCACAATGCAGCTACAGAACCTCCATTTATAAACAGCACAGTAACCATTCTCCATAGCCTGATGAGTTCTTCAAGTAAACGGCAAAGAAATCTTGATGAACTGACTGGAGTACTCAAAGCCTTGTTTAAAACATTTTTTACTTAACTTTTGCAAATTAAACCATTGTAGCTTACTTGTAATATATATCATTAGTTTACCTTAAAAGTTGTAAAAATGTTGCTTTAACCAACACTGTACATATTTCAGATAAACATTATATTCTTTGTATATAAACTTGACATTCTGTTTTGCCTTTGTCTTTTATCTTGTGGAACACGGAGCTAGGGAGGGAGCCATGTCCCAGCCCTCTGGCAGTTGGAAGTCCTCAGTCCTCAGTTTCTCCATCTCCCTTGTGACACTTCTCTTACAGATTCCACTATAGCTGGCCCTGTGGGAAGCAGAGACTTGAAAGTGTCTTTTGTTTCTTCTTGTAGTTCAACTGTAGCTTGTATACCATAACTGTAACTGTATACTATATACTGTATACTGTTACCTCAGCTAAATATGTTGCTCAAGTGATAGAGCACCTCCCTAGCAAGCGCAGTGTCCTGAGTTCAAATCCCAGTACTACCAATAGAAAATGGTCATGGGCTTTACAGTTTTGCTTTCCATCTCTTGGAATTTTTTTTATAATGTAAAAGAATAACCATTGCAAGAATGTTAATCCTTTCCCAAGTTTACCTCTGACCCCCAGGTGAAGCAGCACTGATTTGGAAAGCATCTGCCAGGAGGCCAGGGATTCGAGAGAGTGGACTGAAAAATTAATATTAGAAAAGAAGTAGACAGACATTGACATCAGTAAAAGGTCTTAGCCCAGGTGGGTTGCGGTAACAAAACACCTTAGTCTGGGTAATTTATAAACAGAAGTTTCTCACACTTCTGAAGGCCCAAGTTCAAGGTTAAGGAGCCAATAGACTTGTCTCAGTCCTTCCTAGGTGGTGGTGTCTCAGTCCTCAAATGGTGAGGGCACCAATCACAGGGGCTCTGCCAGCCCCGAGTCACCTGAAAGTCCTGCCAAGTCACTGGGGCCAGAGCAAGAGTTCTGGGGGGACACAAACACATCGCAGCAATGTCCATCCAAATGCATCATCACTTCACTATGGAACTTCCACAGAAGTGGCGAAACAGGCTGAGGGAGGCGAGGCTGCCAGAAGGCAGAGCGGTGGTGGAAACTTGCCTGCCAGAGAACAAGTCCAGCCCAGGTGCTCAGGCCTGAAGAAATACACACCAACTAGCTACCAAAGAACAGCAAGACCTCGATCTAAGTGCAGAGGTTGCCACCTTAGTCCTGGTTTCTATAGAGCTCACAAGAGAGAGGGAGGAGAGACAAACAACAGCCAGAGTATTACACATGCAGAGCCGGGAGGCCGTGTGCAGTAAGGGGATCGTGACTTGCAGTCTCTGGATCACATCTGAAGTTTCTCTGATGGCACTTGTCCATCCAAGATGGCAGACTAGAGACAGGGCAATACCAGAGCTCTGTCTGCTCTATCGGAAATACAAAGCTCTAAAAGATTCCTGGACAGCCGTCCGTGATGGCTCTACAGCACTGCAGTTAGTGTCACCAAAGCTGCATGGCCGAAGCAGCCCTATACACATGCTGCGGCCTCGCATTTGATTCCACCACACAGGGTGATTATGGACCAGACTGAGAAGGGGTCAGGGGACTCAGCCATCAAGGTTAGTACTCGTTTTCAATATTTGGAATGAGAGGCTAGAGCCCCTGGAAAGAACGGGTAAGACAAAAGGAAGGAAACAGTAAATCAAGGATTGATTTCATCAAGGAGCAGGAATAGAAAGGGAGATCCAACGGATTCGATTACAACAAAGACAACGGAAATAATTCAGGAGAATCAACCTATCTGAATGTTCCGTCTCCATCCAAGCCCTAAGTCCCCATGCTTACACAAGCGAACAGAAAAACTTCGGCTCTGGAGAAGTGTTAATGCGAGACACACTTCTGTTAGCCATGCCCTGAGTCATTCCAATATCTACCTCTTGCCCCAAAACTATGGCCGTTTTAAAGGAAGATCCTCAGGAAAACCAACATGCAGAGAGGAACCGATGTATCTGCAAAAAGCTGAGAGAGATTTATTGTCTCCGAGATGGGGTAAGCAAGCCTGGCCCATGGGACGAGGGTGGGACTTGCACAGATTCCAATGAGAGAGAAGAGGGGACTGGCCCAGTCTCCATTCATCCATATGTATTGTAATAGTATACTTTCCTCATACACAGTGGTCCCTTAGGATTAAATATATGTAACGTGCCTGCCGTTAGGCAGCATTATAAAATGTTTTTATGTTACCTGGGCTGTGTGTAGCTCCCTGCAGAGCAGTTTAGTTGTTGTCCGGGTAAGAAACACAGCAGGTCAAGCCAGAAGTTCACACTGGAGGGCAAAAATAACTGTGCACTCTTTCTGGTTGGTGCTTTCTATAATGTACTTTGTTTCAGCACCACCACTACCCCTCTGGAGGAGGAAATATCGAAAGTGCAGAGGAGGGAGAATACCAGTATTTTCTCTCACAAGAATGTGACTTTGGTGGGATAGAGTCAATAAGATCTTAGCTATTAACAAACAGGAAGCACACGGGTATATCCTGGCCTCTGCTCCAAGTGAGAAATTCATAAAGGACACCACACTTGCTACTTTTGGGTGAATGCAAGTCAGAAAAAACAATCCCTAACTTCCTGGCCTAGGCATCGAATATGTTACTGGAAAGTTAAGGCAGATTCATGAGTATGGCAAGGGAAAAATTCAGGTAAGAGTTGAACATAGTAAAGATGATGGGAAAGAACACGTGGCAGAGCTGTGCCCCGACAACAGCGCCTCACCTCATCTTGAGCCATCTTTGGGGTTTTAAAGACTGATGTTGAGTCAAATGAGGGCCCTTGAAAACACTCAGAACATTTCTTTCCTCACACCCCCACCCCGCTTCCTCCCTGCTTTCCTCTTTCCCTCTCTCCCTCCTTCTCTCCCTCCCTCCCTCCATCCCTTCCTTCCTCCCTCCCTCCCTTCCTTCCTTCCTTCCTTCCTTCCTCCCTCCCTCCCTTCCTTCCTTCCTTCCTTCCTTCCTTCCTTCCTTCCTTCCTTCCCTTTCCTTTTTCTGTGCCAATCCTGGGGCTTGAACTCACAGATTGGGTACTGTCCCTGAGTTTTGCTGTTCATGACTAATGCTCTACCATTAAGCCATCGCTCCACTTCCGGCTTCTTTTGTGATTAATGGGAGAGTAAAATCTCATGGGCTTTTCTGCCTGGGCTGGCTATGACCAATGATCTTCAGATCTTAGTCTTCTGAGTTGCTAGGATTACAGGTGTGAGCCATTGACGCTAGGGCCATTCTGAGGATTAAAAGGAAATATCAGACATATCAGATATGTCTGAGGGGATGCCTGATATCAGACACAGTACAAGCTTAGCTGAAGCCTTGCATACTACGAGGACAGTAGAGCCTGGCCGTCCAGGGCTGGGCTGTCTGGCCTCAGCATAGTAAAGGGGAGCCCTCTCAAAGGAGAACTGGCCAAAAGAAAACAAGGAGAGGGGAGGGGCAGGCGCCCCAGGGGGACTGCTGTGTGCCTCTCCCTCTCCCACAGACAGGGCCCTACACTCCATAAACCACAATGACCCTGGCTGAACTTCCAGGCTTGAAAGTATGGCTGGGTTTTAAAAGGAGCTCTTCTTTTTTTTTTTTTTCAAGATCAATTGTTCAGAGAACTGAAAAGCTTGCCTTCGGAAGAGGCTCAGTCCTAAACCCTGTAGGGTAAACCATTAAAGAGCAGGAATGCGCTGTGTTTCTCCACAGGGAGCAGGCCGCCACCTCCACCACCTCCACCGCCACAGCCCTCCACCGCGGCCATTCTGCTCACTCGCTGCTCTACACTAACCAGAAAGCCAAGAACCTGAAAGCTGAGCTCCCGCTAACATCATGTAAGTGAAGCAGCTGTTACATGAACCTTAAACCACATGTCATCCGGCTGAGGGGGGAGGGGGCTGCTGGGCCAGGAGGCTTGGGTCCCCGGCTCCACACATGAATTTGGAAGGCTGTGGTTTGAAAAGCACAATGCATTCTCCCATAGAAGCAGGGTTGTAAACGGCAATTAGGGCTTCAAGCCAGCTCACAAAAAGTCATGTGACCACACTATATGTGACCAAACAGTACATTTCTACCTGGGGGGAAAGGAGGAAGAGTAGCAATCAATAATGTTATAAAACCAATAACTAAAGAATGAGATAAGTGATAAAGTTAAGAATCTCATTTGTTCCAACTAGCCATGGTTAAGTACAAGCAGATTTAATTAAAAGCATTTAAAGCAGTAGAAAGCTGCTGGCTGTCCAGACAGGCTGAGGGTCCAGGGAAAATAGGGACTGTAGTAAAGAATCTGGCAATGGGGGACTAGACCAATTTACAGGGTTTCTGCTGGTCGTAATGGGCCA